CAGGAGGACCTCAGAGTGTCCTTATGGAAAAAGGTGCTACCCCTTTCACCCTCTGCCTCCCCATTCCTCGCCCACTTTGTTCCCCTTTTTGTTTCCAGTACTCACTCAGTCTCTTTGTTCTTTGTGCTCTCTCTCCTGTCCCTCTGCCTCCACCCTACCCTTCAGTCCTGAGCTCCTGTTTCCTCTAACTCAGGGTTAACTCGTGCACACAGGGTGTGCCTGTGGGCTGATGGGGTCCTTCAGGCCAAGCTGGACAGGTGCAGGTTCCAGGCATACATGGCCAGGGAGCTGGTACTGCCTCCTGTCAGTGCTCCTGTGCTGCCTCTGTGGCTTTCTCAGCCAGCTCTGACATAGGCAAAACATTTCAGTAAAACAAACTGGAAATGTTGAGTTGGGAGAATCCCAGTGGCCCGGCTCTGGTAAGGGCTGTGCCGTTTTATGTGGATTTTATTTATTCCATTTAATAAAGCAGCTGCAGAAGTTGGTAGCAGATGTCATGAATCCTCTGTCAGTGGAGCTATAAATACGAGTGTGTGGCACCTTGATTCCACACATTGGCCTGATCTGTGTTTCCAATTTATTTAATTAAAACAGATTACAGTGCTGCTAGCTGTGTGGTGGTATGTGGAAAATCCCAATTTCAGATTGCAGTGGATCTGGAGTAATTTCTGGCTTCCAATTTAGGCAAAATAGACTTCCCTTCTCCTATCTCCTTCTCTTGTTATTTCCGTGGAGCTCCGATGGTGCCATCTGTCACAGTATCCACTCCCAAGGGGCTTTCCCTTCTCGTATTTGTTTAGTGCTGTCCCATACGAAGTGGGAAGGCTGCACCCTACCAAGCCTGGACAGAGCAGGATGGAAAACCCTGAAATAATCAAGAGAAGTGGGTGGAGGGGCAAGTGAAAGAAAACAACCCCAGAACTCTGACCCTAGGGCAGCCCCTGGGATCAACCACGCATGTGGACTTCTGATCCAGTCCTTAGCACGAGTGGACAGCCAGTGGTATCTGCCCAGGAGTGGCCACCCCATCAGGAGGAGGAAGTCTTCACCGGAAACACGATGCACTGGCGGAGGAGATTCTGCATGCCACCTTCTGTAAGGATACAGTGCTGCTGCACGGTCATGCCAAGTTCTTCACATAGGTTCTTGGGCATCACAGCAACTGTGTGGTAGGGCTGACCATTCCTTTATAGAGGGAGTAAAACATGCTGTGAATTTGAAGGCCACACTGCTGATTGGAGCTTTGATCACATGGCTTCATATTCAGCTCCTTCAGCCCCTGCAGCCCCGTCTTCAGGCAGACATGAGCTTGCATTAGTGTCCGCCACAGGGCTTGTAAAGGCACAGTTGCTGGGCCCTTCCCTCAACATTTCTAACTTCGTGCATATGCAGGGGTGGGGGACAGCTCCAGGCCACACCCGGGAGCCAGTGTCCTGCAGAGCTGTCCAGCAGTAAGCCAAATTTGGAGGTGTAAGTGGGGCTATGTTATCTCGCCCTTCCCAGCAGAGCCCACTCTTGCTCTCCCAGCGCCCTTCCTCACAAGGTCTGCAGCCTGGCTCCACAGTCCGTACTAGAGGGCACCTCTGTGTTCTTGTTCACATCCCCCAGGGCCACTGCTAAACAAAGTGCACTCAATTCCTGGTTCTGTGGCCTGGACAGACTCTCAGATGATTGGCCCATTGGCTCATGTTGTCCCAAACTTGTTTGAGCTAGACAAGGAAGCTGGGGCCCGGGGCTGAGTCCCTCCTCTTCTGCATTGACTGTGATCTTGGGGACCCTGCCTGTGTGGGCACTGGTGCAGGCCTGGTGCTCTCCTCTATGCAGGCCCAGTGCTCTGCTCTCCAGTCTTCCCTCCGAGGCCATCCCACATCCTACAGAAGCTGTCCCAGCCTATGGCCACCTGCAGTTTTCCCTGCTGCATCCTGGGCTCACTGTACACGACAGGGGTGCTGGGTCATCAGGCAGCCACTTCACACTTCGGGATAAAAATAGCCCTGCTGCAGTATTGATGCAGCATGTACATGTTGCAGATAGTGCATGTGTCTGTGGCTAATGTCCGAGCACACTTGGGCATCTGGGGAAGACCCCTCAGTGTGATACTAACTCTGGTTGCTTTATCCTTGGCCACCTGTCCATGGCTAACAGGAACTGCACCTTCTCACTCCCTAGCTGTCACCCACTCTGGGCTCTAGCACACCCTGCCCTCCTTTGTTTCTGTATGGTAGCAGCGTCTTGGTCAGAGCCAGGAGTTTGCCCATGTGGAGCATGATCAGAATGGGTATGATACGTGACCACTCAGGCTAGCTACTAGCCCAGATGTGTGTTCCAGTAGGCTGAGGCTAGCTGTGGGCAGACAAGAACAGCTGGTGGGGCCAAGAGATCTTGGTGGGTCTCCCACTTAGAATGTAATCTGGCTTTGTCTGGCAGGAGATCGCTAGGAGAAAGCCAGGTGGTGGCTGTATAGACAGCTCCACTTCATAAAGCCCCTGCAGTGGTGTGGGATGCAGCCAACACTGATGCCATCGCATCCATTGGAAGAGACACCAGCAGCACCTGAGCCCCATGTTGCCCACCACCTCCTGCTGGCCTTCCTGCCCCAGCCTAGGCTGCGGGCTGACTCCTGCAAAGAGGCCCAGGCCATCCTTATTTCCTCCCGGTGCTATGGAGGAAGTAGCTTCCACAGGAGGTGCTGTACAGGGAGGTAGGGCCTTGTTCTGTCTGTTGCTTCTAGGGAAGGATAGTGACTGAACACACTAGGCTATTCCTGAGGGGAGGCCTGGGCACCAGCAGCATCCTGACACAGACCCTGCAATTTTTTTGAGGTGATGGCTGTGCTTCTATTGCTCAGGCCTAGAACTTCAAAAGGGATCTGATGTCTAGATGTGGATGTGGTGAATGACATTGCCGCTAGCTGGGACACAGATTTGGCTGGGATGGCCTAGGTCTTCTCCCTACAGGCACCTTGTCTGACTCTGCTGCCCACCCGGGCTGCATGGTTGGGAGACCTTGCCAAAGGTGCATGGCTGGACCATGTGATGAGATGCCCAGTGCTAGAGAGGACAGTGCGTTTCCTGGAGTTTGATTCTGGTCAACTCTTTCACCAAGATGTGGTTCTGCCCGGAGCTGGTAGAAGTTGGTGGAATGTGTTCCTGTTGACATAAGGTGAGCCTCTCTGGGCATCTCGGGATGCCAGTGTTTGATCAGGCACAGGCTGAGTTCAAGGGTGTCCTGCTGATCCTCAGATGTGGACATCAAGGTCAGTCAGAGCAGGCAGCTGCTGCTCACTGTCTTTCAGTGCCAAGGGGCAGAGTGGGGGCAGCTGGAGCATATTTAATAGTTCCTTTCAATGTATACCTCGGGTTGGAATTAGCGAGTTACAGGTTGTGCAGATGTAACGCAGTTGTTAAACTTTAAGGAAAATACCAAATTGTTTTTGCGAAGTTACTTTCTAGTTTTCATTCCCACTCTCCGCATGGACAAGATTCAGTTGATTTACTTCCTTTCCAGCTCCCAGTGCTGCCAGAGTTCTTCGTGTTTGCCAACCAAATGGTTGCAAAGTGGTATTTCGTTGTTGGTCCTGATTTGCATTTTCCTAATTACTAACCATGTTAATTACCTGTCTGTGTGTTTGCTGGCCATGTGCATTTCCTTTTCTGGGCAAAGTCTGTTTGCATCTTCGCCTGTTTTGCTGTTGTGTTTGTTTTTTTCTTATTGGTTTGTAGGTGTTCAGTGTGTTCCAGAGACTGATCAGGTGGTGGGGGTTTATGCACTTGCTGAGTTCCTCTTGCGGGTGGCACAGTAGGGGCAGCATCCTGCCTGGGCAGAGCAGAAGGATTATTTATGTGTCCGAGAGCAGACAGGCAGCTTGGTCCTGGAGCTCTTCTCTTCTGGTGGGTTCTGTGGGTTGCCCTCTATGCCCACAGGCCCCTCACACCTGGGTAGAGGGCCCCAGAGGAGGAGATTCAGCTGTTGCTCCCTCCCCAAGCCCAGCTGTGTCGGGGACAGAGGGAAGAGACAGAAATGCATCATCTTGCCTTTCACAGACCTGCCCACAGAAGGCTGCTGCTGTGGGCAGCAGTGGGCAGGGCTGGCCCTAGGTCTGCAAGAGTGGCCTCCAAGTACCTGTGGATGGTCAGCATTTATAGACAGAGCCCATGATGGCTGGCTCAGGGCAGGGATGTTCCCTTGATGGCCAGCCCTGCCTCTCTCCACACATCAGTCCCTGCCCAAGAGAGGGGCCCCCAGCTGTGCCTGAGAGCACCACAGTCTGCTCTTAAGGTGTGAGCTCATCTTTGTCTGATGATAATTGTCTCTCGAGGCTGACCACACCTGTGAGCCTCAAGGAATTTGAGGCACTGGGCTATACCTCTTTCATGGTGACCTCTGCTGGGCTTTCCGAAGGCATGAACTCCCTGTCATTAGCCTGCTCCAGCAGAGGCCAGGCAGTACAAGGATGTGGTCCCAGCACAGAGCTGATTGACCCCTACCCCCAAGGCTATGGCCCAACATGGTGCTCACAAGTGCTCTTAGTGAAGAGGAGGCCACCCTTGGCTAGATGGTCAGGTCCTCCCTCCTTCCTCTGCCTGAGTCCAGAGGATGCAGGCCAGGCCTCACGCCCCTTTCCCAGGTCCACCACCAGGTAGCCATGTCGAGGAGCTACAGAGATTTTCTGGGACTCAGGCAACTCTTCCACAGTATGCACCTGATGGGGTTGTTTCCTCCTTTGCTGCCTGGGTACAGAGCATCCCATGCACAGTACCTCCTGTCTCATCCTGTAACTGGGGGGCAGGATTTGGGATGGGATTTGGGTTTTCATGTTTCCTGGCTGCCACTTCACCAGTCCGGGGGACCCTAGGCCTGCCTGGGGTGGCAGCTCAGCCTTGCCCCACCTGGTGCCTGTCTGCCTCTAAGCAGGGAGGAGTGGTCACAGTGAGGTGTGGAGGATAGGAACAGGCATGAGTCTTATCAACAATCCTGACCCTCTTGGTCCTGTCTTGCAGGCTCAGCTGTCACAGGCCCTGGAGGAGCTGGGAGTCCAGAAGCAGAGAGCTGACATGGTAAGTCCAGCAGTGGTGTCCACAAGTTTCCCACATGGCTGAGGGCAGCAGGTTTAGGCCCCTGTGAGTACTGGGTCTCAGCAGGAGCTCCAGTCTGGTCCCCTCTCAGTATGTGTCCTGCAGGCATGAGCCTATGGCTTCTTTTCTTTTCTTTTTTTTTTTTTTTTATTTTTATTTTTTTATTTTTTTTTATTTTAAGGATAAAAGGAGGGAAACATTAACAGACATACAACATTTTACAAGATATCACAAGCACAATACAGACAATACAGAGTTA